CCTGAGGTTCAGCCACTGTTTGTCCATTAGCCTGGGCCTTCTGCTGCGACACACATGACAGTTACACACCAACTATCAACCTCAACAGTTTCTTCCTCTATCAACCTACAGAGCATGTAACCTCACCTTAGACCAATAATGCTATGACTGCATGGATCTAAAACGAGTTAGGCTCATAAAAGGTGGTGTTCAGCATAAACGAAACTTATAAGAGCTTGAGTTATCCAGTCAGCTAACGAAAGCTCGAGTTAACCAGTCAGCTAACGTAGTTATAGTGCTACGTGGCTCTCACTTCGCCTTCGTGTCAAGCCGTCTTATCACGATACTGACAATAAAACACTATCTGATTATGAAACAATATCAGATTTATTAATTTTAATTCATATAAACACCATTTGGTAACAATTGTTTTAATATAGAACGATTTTTAATACAAACAACTGTTTCGAAGTGATTTTGACAGGTTAGCACATTAGCAGCTATGCATGCTAATCTCTATCAAACTCAAGTGAAATGTTTTTTTTATAAAAAGACACTCTTAAAACGTATTAATATGCCTTGCTAGACACCACCATTTGGGATCATATAAGTGTTAAAGAACGTTGTCTATGAAGGCAGCTGTACTGCTTTTTAAAACGCTGCCATTAGCATTAGGAGCTCTTTAGCACAGGCCGCTCACCTTATCGGCTGCTTTCTTTTTGTTCTTCTTTTTGGGCTCGCTCGGCTCGGTCTTCACGGTCTTCGGCGGTGCGCTGGTCTTCACCGGAGCCGCGGCGGCGATGCTTCTAGGACTCGCGGTAACGGGAGCCGCTCGGCGTTTCCTCCGTCCGCAGGCCGCGAGCACCACCAGCAAGAGCAGCCCGATCAGCGCCGCGCTCAGAATCAGCCACGACGGACACTTCTCCGGCTTAATCCCTAGATCAACCCCGAGCTCGGCCCGGAGGAAGTCCAGGCCGGAGGACAGCAGCCCGCGGATACGGTCAGACACGTATTCGGCTCGCTGTGTGGCTAACGCTTGCCAGTCCTGATCCATTTTAAACAGGCGGATAAGAACCGCACTAAGAGACGGATAGAGAGCTGCTGCTGGCAGCGGGATAGAGTGAACGGCAGGAGGGAGTGGCTTTCAAATTTCTCGCCTTCTTACATGATGGCTGTGTCTCAAAGCAAATCGATTTGACTTCCTAGACAACACTTCTGGGCGTCATAAGAGGGCGCAGGGGAATTGTAAGTAGTTTTCACAAAGCTACTGCTAATACTCGGAGAAAGAAGTATGTTTAAAAATTAAATAAAATACTACTTTCATTAGTAGACTGAAAATTCAGGTTTCATCAAAAAGATGTAATGATAAATCTAGCAAAAATCTGGCATCTTTGCAACAAAAATGCCACACCAGGAATAGATTACACAAAAGTAACTAATTGGATGTGATTACATTTTATCAAAATATGTAATTAGTCCATATTATGATCATGTGCCTAATGATATTCATATTATTATTATTATTATTATTGAATAATTAAGTTATTCTACCTTTACATTTTCCTTTGAAAACAACATTTGGACTGTAGTTTGGGAAATCTACTTTAACGTTTAAGACAAAGAGAGAAAAAAATATTCAAAAGTTTATTGAATGACAAATGTTCATTCTGAGTTTGCTCTTATGTTGAATGGGGAGTCAGTGACATTGATTCATGTCTCACATACACAACATTTGCTTCATTTATTGCCTTACATAATGAAACCAATAATTTTGAAAGAAAGAAAAATGTATTAATTCTCTCCGATTCATAAATTGCTTTGATTCATTAAGAGTCAAATTTGTCATCCATTAATAAATGTGTGGGTGCACACTGCATTAAATAATCCATGAACCAATGTCAAGATCACATTTTTTTTTTTAAATATGGAAGAATACACTTTTTAGAATTAAAAGAAAATGCAATCAAAAGGTTTGCATTATGAGCATATTTACAAACCTATTATATATTTTTCTGTATTTTCTTTATCTTTTTCAATTTCTTATAATTTCTTTCAACTTTGTTTTTCTTATTGAATTTAATTTGCAACGTTTTAACCCTGAGGAGAAGGCAAAAAATAAGGACTGACATTGCACCTTCCACTTCAAGGACAATTATAGCCATGAAGAGATTTTAGCTACACCAAATTCTGATACTCATGGAATTATGTGACCAATATAATTAGCATATTTTGCACACTTAGTAACTTTGTGCCTGTTGAAAAATACTAAACTTTATAGGAACAAGCAGCATGGCAGGATTTGTGAATGGCAGGAGTTCACTGCCATTCACAAATCTTCACCTGTTGGCTAATTGGATAAAAAATAAGCCCATATATGGGTTTCTAACAAATGCCTTAGCAGCTGCCAAAAGTATATGACCACTTTTCAGCAATAGCTTATTGCTGAAAGTTGATCATCCATATACATTTTGCATTTACTGCTGTAATCACTTCTGTCTGTCATATACTGTTTTGTGTGCTTGTGTACTATATAGAGAAGTATGCAATTTTGAATGCATCATTTTCTGTCCATAGCCGACATGACAAGAATATATATTTTAAAAAATGGCAAGGGTTGGTTCTCACTTGCAACAAAATTATTTTATAACATTATTAAAATGATTTATACCACAGGGCTGTTGGATGCTCGATTCTGATTGGCCAATGAACATTTAAAGGTGTGCAATTATTTGCAGTAATCCACATGGCTTAAGTAGCTCCAGGCAGGTCTTGTCCTCATTAGGCATGGGACGATAACTGTTTTCAAGGTATACTGTGGTTTGGAGAAGTCAACGTTTTAAAACTGCCGACATTTTCTGTAATACCATTCCTGAGGTATATGTAAGATTTTTCTATTTAGGTTTTTTTTTTTTTTAAGGACAGTATTTGCAGCAAAAAAATAAATAAAAATAAATCCAAAGATGCCGTTTAAAAATCTATGTTTTTGAAACTAATGAAAATAGCAGAAGTCAGAAGTGAATGTTTACTGTTCTAAAATATTATAAATCTTTCAAAAAATAAAATATATTGTTTTCAAAAGGAATAAAGCTTTTGTTTTTTACCCGGACATTTAAAAAGCATTAATCTCAATACCGTGATATATTTATTCAAGGTTATCATACGGTCAAAATCTTAGACCAACCCATGCCTAGTCTGCATTACAGTTCAATTTCACTACACTGAATGACAATAAATGTACAAATTAAATGACAGTTATTTATACACAAGGTATTTCAAGATTTAATGTTCATGTATTAATTTCATTTTTAAGATGGTATCATTTTTACATTGTCGCTTTCAGTATGGCTGTACTACAGACCACACAAAATGAACATTAAAGCACATAATCGGTACCTGGAATTATCAAAATCAGTTTGTATCCTGCTGTTCCAGGAAATAAAAATCACTTTTTTTTATAATCAAATCCTACAAAATAATAGAATTTCACACAGAACATTTTCAATCTAAAGCCTTTTGTAGCCCCAGTTAATGTAATCATGGGTTATCATCATGCTCACAACTCAGGGCTGGACTGGGGCAAAAAAAAAATCGGCCCTGGCATTTTGGGCCAGAGCAGCCCACTACATTCAATCAAAATGCTATCTATCTATGCACGTCCAATATTTTTATCAACTCATATTTTATAAAACACAAAAGCCATATATTTTAAATAAATAAATAAATACAAACTTTAATCTCTATTTAATTTCTGTATACTGTCCATAAAGATTTTTGTTGAGTTCTAAAAAATACACTATTCATTCATTTATTTTTCTTCGCATTAGTCCCTTATTTATCAGGGGTTGCCCCAGTGGAATGAACTGCCAACTATTCCAGCATGTTTAATGCAGCAGATGCCTTTCCAGCCACAACTCAATATTGGAAATCACCTATACACACTCATTTACACACACTCATACACTACAGCCAATTTAGCTTATTCAATACACTATTCACTCAGCCTATATTTCATTAATAAACATAACAAAAACTGCCTGCTAATGCATGGCTAAATCTTCAAAGTGAACCGTGTACTTTATAACCTCATTTACCTCACCCTGCTTGCTGTTTCACTATCTAAACAATGAAAACATAATATAAGTCAAATTTGTTTCATTTTGATATTATGATTAACAGACACCAAACAGCCTCATGTAGCTGCATATTTATATAAGCGTCATCTTCACTCTGCATATTTATAACAAAAAAGGGATCAAATATAACTGCCTCCTTTCATTTTCATTGAAAAGAACAAACTTTACCCTGTCTCTTTTGCTGAATATTAGTTTTAATAATCAATAATGGCCATTATAACAGTATAACGTACAATAAATTTATAGGATAAAGGTAAGCAATCAGTCAATGTGCAGAATCAGTGTATGTTACATAAATTAATTTATTAGCTTATCTTTGCACTCAGCCAATACAGTTACCTGTGAACAAGTGATTTAAAAGACATAAGAGTTGTTAGATAGAGACAACAAGATGAATTCAATATCACGTTTAACAACTACAGTTAGATGAGATCATCCAGCAGGTGAACTGTCTGACATGCACTATACTCTCACCTGGGGTTTATGCTGCTCACCCGCTGAACTACTAGCTGCAGCTCTGGGCAGAATGTGTGTGGTCACGTGATTTGCGTTTTTAGCCGCAAAGACGACAGACGACGCACGCTCACACAAGAGTCCAAAATAGGAGTTTGTGATTGGGCCAGCCCAATGTCAATACAGAAAAGAGCCAATGGGCTGCAGAGTATCACATGGGCCGGCCCGGTCTGTCTGTCCGGGAAAAAAGCATCTCCTTTCAGAGAGTCACAGAACACAGCAGCGTCAATTAAAAAGGCAGAAAAAACAATAGGCTGCTAAGCCTTTTATGGGCCGATCAGATCATAAGACGATGATCAGCCCGGCCCAAAAAGTACGTCGGCCCAGCGGGAAAGTGCCCGGTCTGCCAGATGGCCAGTCCGCCCCTGCTCACACTCAATACTGGCTGCGTTTTAATCTAAAACACCTTTAAAAGTTGAAGCTTTACACCAGATGAAAAACTCATAACAAAACTCATAAAACCAAACCTTAAAAGCTTACTATATTTCTCACTTTCAGAACATAATGTAACAGCATCCAAATAAATAAACAACATCATCTAGTTCTTCAGAAATCTGCATCCAGTGTGAATTCACAATCCTTAACATTTGACATCACTCCAAGTCGCTGGTATTCGGCCACTCGCTTCTCAAAGAAATTTGTTTTCCCCTCCAATGAAATGGACTCCATGAAGTCGAAGGGGTTTTCTGAACAGTAAGCCTTTTGGGACAGAAATGATAAAGCGCTGTTATAAAACTATAAAGATTACCAGACCCAAAATCATTAGCCAACACTGATAAAATACTGACTTTGGGCAATCCTAAGTCGGTCAGCAAGCGGTCAGCAACAAACTCAATGTACTGCTTCATGAGAGAGCAGTTCATCCCGATCAAATTGACTGGTAAAGCTTCTGTGAGAAACTCCTTTAAAGCACAAACAGATGTATTTACAGTTGGGCTTGAAATAATATTATTAGAGTACTGGAAAATGTACCAACCTGTTCAATGCTCACAGCTTTAGCGATAATGTCATTCACTCGGTCAACAGAAGGTTTTTTCACTAAGTAACTGTATATTAAACAGGCAAAATTGCAGTGTAGGCCCTGTGAAGTTTCAAAAGCCACAATCAATGCATGAATGATTAGTTTTTCACTTTATCTCGACACTTTTATCACTACGCAAGAGGAGAAACCTTGATCAAAACATGACCTGTGGGTTCTACTGATAACAATAGTGCATTTCCCAACCTCGTCTCTGCTGATGAGCTCATTGGAGTAGGTGAGTCCAGGCATCAGGCCTCTTTTCTTTAACCAATAGATGGCAGCAAATGATCCTGAGAAAAAAATGCCTTCCACTGCTGCAAACGCTACCAACCGCTCACCTGAAAATACAACAACAGGACACAAGCACTGCTGTTAACAGGTGTGGTAATGGATAATATTCCGTTGTTATAGGGAAAAGGACATTTTCTACATACCGAAAGTTGAGTTTGTGTCTGAAATCCACTGTAAGGCCCAGTCTGCTTTCCGCCTCACACAGGGCATGGTCTGAACTGCATTAAACAAATAGTCTCTGTAGGAAAAAAGGGTTGGATTAAGAATGAATCATTACATCAGAATGAATATAAATAAAAAATAAATAAAAATCCAGTGGTAGTTCGTTTTGGACCAAAAATAATCAAAGCATTTCCAGTCATACTAAATATAATTCATTATCACAATAAAAAGTCTCTATGTATTTCAAGATAAATAACAGATTTTTTTTCTCCTGAATAAAAATTGTGGAAACCAAAAGTTTAATTGTTTATTTAAACTACCTTTTCATTGTCATAAACATAACAAACACCAGGGGCCTCATGTATGAAGACTTGCGTTGAAATTATTAAAAAAAATTGCATATGCACAAAGCTGTAAAAAATCAAATGTATGAAACGCTGCGTACGCCGAATCCCACACATATTCAAATTAACGTGAAACTGAGTGCACGTGCACAAAACCCCTCCCTGCCTCCTGCCCCTTATGAATATGCTAATGACTCTACTTTGGCAAAACCAAACAAACAGCAATGGCAAAATCAAGCAAAAAGAGAAACTTTGAACAGAATGTGAATTGGAGGTGATCCTATCGGAGGTAGACCGGAGAAAAACGGTGTTATATGCAAGTTCGTCCTCTGGAATTAATAAAAAAGGAAAACAAATAGAGTGGGAGAGTTTAGCTGACACGGTTAACGCATTTGGGTCTGAATATCGCACAGTGAGTGAATTAAAAAAAGAAATGGTACAATGTAAAGCTGTAAAATTTTGTTCCGTCTATAGTAGCTTGAGTGGCGTAGCTCGTAAAGCACATGGCAACATGTTTCGACACATTCAATCATGGACTCTGTTCGAATCCAGCATCTGATGAACTTATTCTTCTTTTTTTCCCCCACTACATATCAGATTTTGCCTACTCTTCATGTAGGATTCATGTAGGAATAAGTGTGTGTATTATGTTAAGCGCATTTGAGCATCACATTTTATTTGCACATTTATTGAATGGAAATGTTTCTGATTCACGCATGCAAATTCGTCTTCAGATGGCACCTTTATAGCAATGTGCGTGCAGCAGATGGCTCCGATTACGTTGGGAAATCGGCGATCGCTGCACATTACGCTTTAATGTTTGGCTGGTCAACTGCATGGTATGGTAACCTTATATACCTGCTAGACATGCAGATGATGCTGTCTCATACAGCTGCCATTGCATGGCTCAAAGATACTTTGTAGTGTACAATTTAACATAATTGTCACTAGGAGTCACCAACAGAAATGAAACAAACACACACAAGAAATGCACATACGCCAAGTATGAAGCTGGCGTGGACCAACGCACACTCGCGTTCATTTCATCGTTAGTAAATCCAAACACGAGCTTGAAACCTGGTGTACACAAAGTTTTTGTGCGTACGCAGCGTTGATACACGAGTCCCCAGTTGAACATTTAACAAATCCTATGTGTAACTTTTTTGTATTAAAAAAAGCTTCTTTATTGACTTTAAAAGCAAAATGTAGATGTAAATTTTGGTTCAGTAAAACAAGAGCATCTGTATGCTGTGGATGTGTTTAAATATTGAATTATTAATTTGATTCAAATTAAATATGGTCAAATAATACCATAGATTTACATGCACAAATGCTCTAGCTTAACAACAATTACTGCGATTACATGTCATCATTACTGCAGTACACTTCAGGTCATGATTTACTCATTTGTACACTGTAAATGACAATTTCTGTTCTAAATTGTTAAAAGTTTTAAATTTTCTAGTCATTGTAACTTGCATTAGTCAAACTGATTGTGAAACCTCGCTTGTTCGAGCCTGGCTGGGTCAGTTGACATTTCTGTGTGGTGTTTGCATGCTCTCCCCATGTTCGCAGGGGCTTCCTCCGGGTGCTCCGGTTTGCCCCCACAAGTCCAAAGACATGCACTATAGGTGAATTGAATAAACTAAATGGGCTGTAGTGTATGAGTGTAAATAAGTGTGTATGGGTGTTCCCCAGTAAAAATGGCAACAGTTGGTCACGCCTTGCATTCTACAAAAACCTATGGGTGACGTCACAGATTCGATGTTCATATCTTTTACAGTCTATGGTTTGAATGCATAAAAATGTCTAAAAAGACGCTGATGATAAGTTTAAGTGCAAAGCAACCCATTGTTTACAAGCCTTAAGACTAACAAAGTGTACTAACAAAATAAACTTTGTAAAATTTGACAATGACATTTATGTGTATTATTATACACTCATGTGTATTGTGCATATTTCTGTGGCTGAATAAAAACACATCTTGCTGTGTTTGTTCATAAACCACATAAGGAAGATGTTAGCAAACACTGTGCAACTGAATCTTGCACCTGTCACCTGTGTGAAAACAATTACAGTTAAAGTCAGAATATTTCTCCTCCTGAGAATTCTTCTTGAAATATTTCCCAAATTATGTTTAACAGAGCAATGAATTTTCTACAGTATATCCTATAATATTTGTTCTTCTGGAAAAAGTGTTATTTGTTTTATTTCCGCTAGAATAAAAGCAGTTTAATTTTTTTTTTTTAATTATAATGCTTTGACTTATTGTTTAATCTCATTTACAAGCACTGTAGCATATTTAAAGCTGCTGTATAGACTATTTCTGTTCGTTCACATCCCGTCCCTTTGTGCCCCCTGGCGGCATATTCACAAACTGCGGTCATACACTAAAAACAGAGCGGCGGCAATTTAAAACGGCAGCGGTATAAGCTCCGGCGGTAATGGCCACATTAAACTCTTACCTACTGTACATACACAGACCAACATGAGCCTTTATAGCAAATAAACTAATGTAAATATTATCCTGCTTGCTTTTTGAGCGCTGTCAACTCAGTTCTTACACTCCTAACCATACATTCACACCGAAAGTGGCTAGAGCGTCAAAGTAATTTATGTTCAATGAGAGCCGGTGGCAACAAGCGGCGAGGAGCAGTGCGGCACGTCTTCGCCGGTGTGGGCGCCAGGGAAAGTTGAAATCAAGTCAACTTTATGTAATGAGCTATGATGCGGTTCGGCGGCAAGCAATCAGAATGAAGAAGTCCACCGCTTAAGAGGAGTTCAGAGAACACAGACCTGTGAACTTTGGTTCCGACCACAGTTGTTCCCAGTGGTTTGATTATTTTGGTCGCCGGATTTTTAATTATTTACATGTTTTCTTACAGGAACATGCATTAAATAAGTTAGTAGCCAGTTACTGATGTGCATTAATGTTATATATATTTATGTTAAAGCGAGAATCTCACACGACAGTACAAAACAGTATTGCTGCTTCAGGATATTTCAGACAAATGAACATACTGCATAATTAAGTGGAGCAAAGCCACATTACACGCAACTTGATCTTTCATTGGTAAATGAATTTGATAAAAAGTGTGCAACAATTTAACGATAGAAAGCATGTTTTATGCAGGAATGTAACTGATATGCTGCAACCGCCCCTTTGAATACGAGATCAATGTAGCGAATTTTGACGCTCTCGCCGCCGGAGCTAAAGGCAGACAGCGTTGTCGCCAGGGTGGCCAGAGCGACCTTGGACGCTCTCGCCGCTTTCAGTCTGAACGCACAATAAGACTGGTTATTGTCTTCCCCCGCTCAACAGAAAGAGCTGGGATGGCCTTTAAAAATGAAAGCGCTGTTCACCAATGAGTGACGCGGGAAGAACAGCCGCGGTTACTGTCTATAGACCATTTTGAAGGATGTAAACAAAAACAACGGTCCCAACATATTTCCTGTTTTACATTTTGAATTTCTACAGCTACTGAGAATATACAAAGAGTCACATATTGATTAATAATGTTATGATCACTGTCTTAACATTAAGTTATGATTGAATCGCCCCTTGTTACTGTTATGAAAAAGTTTGATAACAATGGGCCAGTGACATGACCACATTGAAATGATCTATATATGCACAAAATATGCAGTTATCATAGGTAATCCAAAATAGATGGTGAAGAAAACTCGCACCACAGACACGCTCATGTCTGGATCTACAAGTATCATTTCAACAGCCGAGAGGAGAGGATAAGTTACCTTACGAACACCCCAGCGGGTCATACGTCCAAAGTGAGAGAAAGAGAGAGAGGCAGAGATGGAGTTTTACAGCATTTCTTCCTAGTAGTGAAATTGCGGCTACCATTCCTCACGGTCAGTGAAAGACTGTCTAGCAAACTCACAAGCAGTGAATTGCAATTATCTGCTTTTTATGTAGTAGGAGCGGTTTATTTACTCGTCCTCGCCTCGTTTGCCATAGTATTTTACTGCGACATTGCGCATTGGGGATAAATGACATCAAGCGGTTATGATCTATTACTGAACTGATATCAAATTGTCCCGAACTGCATCGCAGTGCACCGAAGAAACTATTAATTTTGACACCCTTTATGATTTACCTAATTACCCTAATTTGCTGAAATCAACCTAATAAACCCTTTAAATTGCACTTTAATCTGAATACTAGTACCTTAGAAAACATCTAGTCAAATATTATTTATTGTCATCATGACAGATAAAATAAATCAGTAAAAATTGGTTATTAAAAGTATTATGTTGAGAAATGTGCTAAAAAAAGCTCTTTAAACAGAAATTGGGGAAAATATACAAGGGGGCTGATAATTCAGGAGGGCTAATAAATATGACTTCAACTGTATTATAAGCCAGAACTTACATAGCTTTTTCATGTTCATCTCACCTCTCTTTCAGATCCCTAATGTAGGTGTTAATGAGCATGCTGTACATCTCTGAGTGCACGTTCTCAATTAATATTTGAAAGCCGTAGAAGGAACGAGCCTCGGGGAGCTGCACCTCCTGACTGAACCTCTGGACCTGTCAGAGGATAAGATGTTTACCGAATAACATTGATTTGGTAAACAATCAAAATTCCTGAAGTCTCACATTGATGAATGAAGGTTAGAATGAGATGCACTTACCAGGTTCTCATTGACTATCCCATCACTTGCCGCAAAGAAAGCCAATACATGTGATATGAAGTGTTTCTCTTCAGACTTCAGGCCGTCCCAGTGAGTTAAATCCTTTGATAAATCCACCTAAAGAAAACCCATACAGTGTTTTGAGTTTGACTCAGCAGTAGGACTGCATGAAATTGGAAAAATTTGATATTGTGATATTTATTTCTGTGATAAATACTGTGATATGAACACAAGCCAGTTTGAATAGCACTGTTTGACTGTTTTCTAACAGTACTGAGGAAGAAAAGTTGAATAAACAATGCAAAGCTTTCCTTAGTTTGCTTTGCCTCATTTCTAGTCCAAATATCTAAACATTCTTAGATCAAGTAAAAATATTGTTTTGTTTTCACAAACAAAACAGAAGAAACAAGTCAAAATGAATAGTTGTTCCTTAAAGGAAGCAAAATGATCTGCCAATGGGGTAAGTAAAATAATCTTGTTTTAGCTTCGAAGTGAAGTTATTTGGACTAGAAACAAGACAAAAATTCAAAGTAAGAAAAACATTTTGTTTTATATAAATCAGATCAATTGTTTATAAATAAATAAATACAATAAATCTGTTACACCTCCAAACATTATAATTTTTGGCTTGAAATTTTCTTAACTCTCTTGAAATGCACATTCACAGGCCTTAAAAACACATGCAAATCATTACCCTTCACTCTAATATGGTTGATCTTGTGTTCTGTAGCTCCTGGTCAAAAATAAAATTTAGAATCAACTTGTGATGTGACCATGGGCATTGCCAGGTCTATTTTAGGGGGACTGTAGCCCCCTATATTTCTACTCTGCCCCCCTTAAAGCTTCCCCCAACCAGTTTTACGGTCAGCAGTGTTGTTTTATCTGTAATGGAGATTTTTCTGTTTTTGCAGAATTAGAACTATTAATGCATCTTTGTATTTATGGTTGTTTCTTAGTCAGAATTTAAATTTCTGGGTTGATTTTTGAAGTACAAGAGTTATTACAATACAGTCAAGGGGCCTGTTTCAGAAAGGAGGTTCAACCAACTCAGAGAATCAGTTTTTAGTTTCAGAATAGCTGATCTGAGTTGGGTCAATCAACTTTGAGTAGACCAACTCGGAGTTAAAAGTGCACACCGCAACTATAAAAAGGCATTATCAATGGCAACATCTGAGATCAACATTTCTTTCTCCAGCTGAACTTGATCTGCTCATGCAAACTTATAGCAAATATGACCATATATTTAAAAAGGAACACCACTGCATCAGTGAAACAGGGACAGCTAGCATGGGGAAAACATAGCTGCTTAAGTTAATGCGCAAGTTTACATTTAAAATATTTAAGTATAATAAAATAAGTAATGTGTGACGTTTATTGACTTTTCACTTGAAAAAGTGGGGAATTGGCCATAATTTTGAAATTATTTCAGATGTAATTGCATTAAATGACATAAAATAGGCTACTGCATAGTTTCTACAACAAATCTGATAAAACAAGAATGCATATAACCTAAACTCAATGCTCTGTGGAAATGTTTAATTTAAGGTTTCCATTATCACACACGTTGATCAGTTTAAGATAACATTTCTAAAATTTAAAAGTGCACTTGTGTGTCTGCCTTTCTTATTGATTAAGTGGTGGAGGCTGATATGACATTTAGAATGTAAGCATTGCTAAAAAAAAAGTTTTTAAAACAAGTAATAATCCCATTAATAGTTACAGTACATGTCCCTGTTAAAGGTCAGTGAATTTAGGATAATTATTCATTAAAAAGGACAAGCCATTCTTGTGACTTTGTTCTTTGTGAGACTTAAATGTAGGCAATATCTATTTGCATCCAAAAGAGCGAATTGAATTTATGCGCAAAACAGGAATATCGCATAAAAGATGTGCGAATAAAGCAGCGTTTCTATCCAATGAGTCAAAGAGAACAAAATCGACACATCCTGATTAACTGGTAAAAATTTCAAAAGTAAAGACAGAATTTACGGCGGTATAAGAAGCTGCGACAATCTTTTCTTTGTTTAATAAATAACTTTTACCTCAGATAATTATTCTGAAACACAATAAACGCGTGGTGGCATTTGAAGGCATCAGACACAGAGCACAGACGCTCTTAACAGTTAGGGTTAGTAGTAATAATAATAATAATATATATCTTACAACAAATTCACATGACCTTTTTTTAAATGTGCATACAGGAATTTGTACGGTAAAATCGTTTTCATCGCATTTTATGTTTATCTTTTCTTATCGAATAAAAGTTTATCCTACTCAGTTATGCGCATGTTTTTATGTCAATTTTCAAAAGTTAAGCACATCTTGGCATTTCAATCAATCGCTTTTTATGCCTATATCCAAGATGTGCATGAAAATAGGTGGGTGGAAACGTAAGATTAAGGCGAGAAATATCGCTTTGCGTTAAAAAAGGGGAGGAGACCGACAGAAACTCAGAGTTTAGGGAATAAAACCTGCTCCTGACCAGGTTAGATTTACAGAGTAAGTGACCACAGTAACTGACTCTGAGTTAAAGTTATCTCTCTTTCAGAAACAGGTTTGACTATCTGCTTTCTCGAGTTTGACAAACCTGCCATTTTGAAGGGGAAAACCCAGAGTTTCTCTCATTTTAGGGTTAACATACTCCGAGTTTTTCCTTAACCTTCTTTCTGAAACAGGGCCAAGAGCTTTTGTTTGTTTGTTTTAAAACAAACAGTTGCTAAAATAATATTCCTGACATTAAATCAAATGTAATGTTTACCTCCTCAACTGTCCAGAAAGAAGCCTGTGCTTGTTTGTACATTTTCCAGATGTCTGGATACTGAATAGGGAAAATGACAAATCGTTTGGGATTCTCTCTGAGCAGAGGCTCATCTTCAACACTGTTTGGGTCGACATCCTTGTGACCGTTCTGCAGAGGAAACGTGTTATTAGATAAAATGTTATTTAAAAAAAAGGATACAAAAACGAATAAAGGGAGAAATAAAACAAAATTAAATACAAATATACATATAAACAATTTATACAGTGAGACAATAACAAACAAATATAAATAAATAACTTTATAACACACACACACACACACACACACACACATACATATATATATACACACATATACATATATATATATATATATATATATATATATATATATATATATATATATATATATATGTGTGTGTGTGTGTGTGTGTGTGTGTGTGTGTGTGTGTGTGTGTGTATATAGTTGAAGTTAGAATTATTTGCCCCCCTTTGATTTTTTTTTCATTTTTTTAATATATTTTCTATATGATGTTTAACAGAGCAAAGAAATTTTCACAGAATGTCTCATAATATTTTTCCTTCTAGAGAAAGTTGTATTTGTATTCTGGCTAGAATAAAATCAGTTTTTATTTCCAGATTGTTTTACAAGAACAAAAAATCTAATTACCATTAACAAATTTCGAGTTGACTGGTCGGGTATATATTTTATGCACGCGTTTATTTCTCACATTTTATTTGGGATGCAGAAGAACTTTTAGCAAATTAATAGACTTTATAAAAAAAATAAAAACTAAATAAAAAATGTATGAGGTCTACAGGGAAAATGTATATTATTATTTACTATTATTGTCATCTTCAGGTCACAAAACCATAATAAGAAAATACATTCCTCCTATCTATATCCGGCAGATGCGCTGGTTGAGTAACGTGAAGCAAAGCGATGACGAATCTGCTTACGAAAAATTTAAAGGACACTTTTTATGTACATGTGAATTAAAGAACGAAGCTGCAATTCTCAACTTAATAACAATATATTGATCCTAAAACACTTCTACAAATACTCTTTCATTCACTTTATCCAGACCTAATATTATTATTTTTAGATTTAATTTATATCGTGATACGCAGCATATGTTGTCATGCATTTTACTTATAGGTTACCATCATTAGGCATTACATACACGATACATACTCGACTATTTTTATTAACAGACACATCATTTATTGCGGTATTAGCTTTTATCTAGTACGCAGGGCTCTTTGTTATGAAAGCTAGCAAGCGCTGAAATAATCACTCAGGCAGTTTCAACATTTACTCGCAGGCCTCAAACTCGTGCTTTAACGCGGTAAATATGTTCATTATTACCTGATATCCCGTAATAACCGTCGGAGTGTTGCTTGTGCAGGAGTTCATGTTTATAATGGTGTTTGGTCAGCAGCAGTGAAGCTGCGGTGTCTGCTCGTCGACTGTCATTGAAAATTACATATTGACTGAGAAGCTCCTCCTACACTGTTCCTCTCAAGATAGATATTAACCCTTTGATTCTCTTCTCACATTAAAGTGAATTAGAACCACTCATTGACTCCAATGACCCGCAAATTTGATCTAACTCGTCGCCCCATTGTAAAATAAGGTTGAAAAAATTGTAAGAAAATACTTAGTTGTTACATTATTTTTTAAATTTAAATAATTTTAACCTTATTTTATTATTTATACGAGTCATTTTTTATTTTTAAATTTATTATTTAAATTATTTATCTGACTACCTGATTTCTATATATATATATATATATATATATATATATATATATATATATATATATATATATATATATATATATAAAATAAAAACTATTAACAGTTGTTTAGAAATCTACATTTATAATAAATCGCTTGGCTGACGTTTTATACCAGAACGACTTATAAATAAAAACAATGTAAGTTCAATAGTTTTATTTTTTTTCCATTATTGTATTTATGTAAAGCACATTTATTTAAAAGTACATTTTGATTATTTTTATTCTTTTCCTACACGTTTCTTCTCTAGCGCTCTCTTGTGGCCAGAGCTTTCAAAACTGGACTGGCTCAATTCAAAATAAAAAATACTCACTGGCCACTTTATTAGGTATAATTGACTTACTAGTATTGGTTTGGACCTCTTTTTGCCTTCAGAACTGCCTTAATCATTCGTGGCGTAGATTCAACAAGGTACAGGAAATACTCCTGAGATTTTGCTCCATATTGACATGATAACATCACATTTGCAGCACATCCATGATGCGAATCTCCCTTTTCACCACATGCAAAAGGTGCTCTATTGAAGTCTTTTGGAGGCCATTTGAGTACAGTGAACTCATTGTCATTTTCAACAAACCAGTCTGAGATGATTCGCGCTTTATGACATGGCACGTTATCCTGCTGGAAAGTAGCCGTCAGAAGAGTACACTGTGGTCATAAAGGGATGGACATGGTCAGCAACTATAATCAAGTAGACTGTGGCGTTGACATGATGCTCGATTGGTACTAATGGGCCTAAAGTGTGCCAAGAAAATTTCCCCCACACCATTAAACCACCACCAGCAGCCTGAACCAATTATATAAGGCAGGATGAATCCATGCTTTCATGTTGTTGATGCCAAATTCTGACCTTTTCATCCGAATGTTGCAGCAGAAATGGCGACTCATCAGACCAGGCAATGTTTCTCCAATCTTCTATTGTCCAATTTTGGTGAGCTTGTGTAAATTGTAGGCTGTTTCCTGTTCTTAGCTTACAGGAGTGGCACCCGGTGTGGTCTTCTGCTGCTGTGGCTCATCTGCCTCAAGGTTGGGCGTGTTGTGCATTCAGAGATGCTCTTCTGCATACCTCAGTTGTAATGAGTGGTTATTTGAGTTACTGTTACCTTTCTATCAGCTGGAACCAGCCTATCCATTCTCCTCTTACCTCTGGCATCAACACGGCATTTGCGCCCACAGAACTGTCCCTCACTGGATATTTTCTCTTTTTCGGACCATTCTCTGTAAACCCTGGAGATGGTTGTCTGTGAAAATCCCAGTAGATCAGCAGTTTCTCAAATTCTCAGACCCGTCTAGCACCAACAACCATGCCACGTTCAAAGTCTACCTAAATCATCTTTCTTCCCCATTCTGATGATCGCTTTGAACTGCAGCAGATCGTCTTGACCATGTCTACGTGCCAAAATGCATTGAGTTGCTGCCATGTGATTGGCTAATTAGAAATTTGCATTAACGAGCAGTTGGATGAGTGTACCTAATAACGCATGTATGCATGTATGCATGCATGTATGCGCGCACACACACACACACACACACACACACACACGTCTTGTGTAGCTTGAATGTAATTTATGAATTCCGACTTAATCCAAGCCTTAATACTTCTATAACAAATCACACACACACACACACACACACGCACACACGCACACACGCACACACGCACACAAAGCAGTAGGATGTGCTCAGAAATGTATTAAATTAAGATTTAATTACTTTTACAAGCACAATTTTACAGTCAAAAACAGGCAATGGTCCATTAGTGCCTCAGACAAAAGGTGTATTTCATCACTAAGGGGCATGATTTTATAAAACAGCTGTTATAATCAAACTCAGACGACATGCTAGACACACAAGAGGTGCAACAGGGATCTGAAATAATATACACTGTTTGATTTGACTGTTTTAGATTGAGCACAAGTGCATTGCAGCATTTAATCTGATTGCGGGGAAACGTCCTTAAGTTAAATGTCTAAAAACTCAGAGCAGACTTCAGTTTTTAGTTTTAGAAAATATACAATAGAGAAACCAATTCACACCTGCCAATCTTTTAAAAGAGACACTGCAAATTATTACAGCACACTCAACCATAGAGCACTATGATATATATATATATATAAATATAATTTATGTATATATATATATATATATATATATATATATATACATATATATATATATATATATATATATATATATATAAACAACCTTTGGAAATACTGTCACGTGACGCACCACATGTAATGAGGAAACCATAATTTGGCATGAGGAGCAACATGAACGCCCCCTACTTCTAGAAAACCATGTAAAACGCGAACGAGATTTAGGACAGATTGCAAAACCAATTGTCACTTGTTCACACACTAATAAGGGTCCTATTTGTGCATCTAACGCTATCCTGATTTGAGACAAATGCATGAACAGACAACTCATTTACAAGACTGTCAGTAGGTCATCTATATCTATATATGTATACATAATAAAATTAAATTAGTTGAACATCTGTGTAAACTGTGTTTGATTTATAAACCCAAGGATTTGGGTGCCATCTCCACAGTCATCCATTTTGTTGCATATGTTATTTTGTATGTTGTTTTGTTTGTCATTTTTGAGCGATAAGCAAAGAGAGCCTTTATGTGAGAAACTGAGGTAACAATGTCAATCGGTTAGGTTTTGACCAGTAACATCAAGCTATTTTTGTTTATATTCCTCCCCCACACCAAAACGAACATCATTTTTCCACCCATGACTGTTGGAATGTTGACTCTATTCACATGTCCAGTGGTTAGTGGACGGAGACTGGCTGTGTTACAGGCCAAACTGGACCAATGAGAGGTTTTTCATGGTGTCGTCAAGAGAAATTCCAGCCTCTTGCATCTCAAACCTGAAGAAAAGGGGAAAAAAAACAAACTTCAATTAAATCTGCAGGTTTCACACAGTCAAACTTAAGAAAATGTTTACATTTCCTAGCATGCAAGTCTGAGAAAGAAAAAAAGTGATAACATGCAAGTCCATGTTATAAAGTCAGAAATGTGAGATATAAAGTCATTTTGAAGACAATTAGGAATTAAATTTAAAACATTAAGAGTGATGTGTCAAATATTAAGTTATAATACAATTTTATTTAGACTAGTGAAAGAAAAACTACAATGCCACTAATGCCATTCAGGGTTTCTGCAGGTTGCCCCCAAGTAGATAGTAAATTTGCAAATAAAACGGCGGTCAGTCACTGGTGTAATTTGAATGGGATCAGGCTGTCTAACAATATATCGTTCCCGATTGAGATAGAGCGAGCACGCTGCTGTGATGCTGTATGTGTGTGTGAATGAGAGAGATTGTGGCATCCGCAGTGGTGCTGTATTTAAATCGCTATACATTTTACATTCTTCCTTGGCTCAATATGTACTTGCTATGTGTATAAAAATAACGCAGGCAAATATATCGAGTGGATATTTTGGTAAAACTGACTTTGAAAGAGTCAGTGCCCAACCAGCCACAAATCACAGCGTACATCACCGTTTAAGGTGGCACTCATGTCTCATCACAAAGAGGCAAACAAAACTGACATTTAGCCTTCAAAACTTGCACAACTTAAACTTTTATCTGTTATCTTTCTCTTTTAGTAGTGCACAATTTTAACGTGAGATTTTGGAAACCAGATACAAATTTGGCGGGAACTGTCGGGTCCCGCTAAACCAGACAGAATAAAAAACCCGAAACCTGAATAAAACCTTGCAGGAGCAGGACTAAAAATTCAGGCCCGCACTCTACCCCGAACTCAAATTTAAGACTTGAGACCTTATTTAAATGAAATTTTAGATTTATACAGGGATACACCTTGGGGATTCTTCCTAATAGGTCAGTGGAAATTCCTGCACCTGCCCCACCGAAAAATTTTTTACTTTTTTTTTTTTTTTAGTAATATGTTAGCCATAATAATTAGTGAGTCAAAACATGTTAAAAATGTTAATAAAATGAATGCATGCACAACTTTTAACAAATGTTATTGTAAGGTGGATAATTACAATAGTTAATTGTAACTGTTGGAAGCATAGCGAGGGTGCATAGCGAGGACTATGCGTCCACACATAGGCTGCACCGGACGTATAAATCAGCCTTTAGACTGAGGGCACTAGAAGTCACTAACTCTTCGTTAAATTTAACGAACATTTGTCGCTTTGCCGCTGCGAGTCCCTTGTAGTGTTTATGAGGCTTAAGTGAATTGGGTAAGCTAAACTGTCCATAGTGTACGAGTATGAATGCATCTGGGTGTGTGTGAATGAGTGTATATGGGTGTTTCCCAATGCTGGAAGGGCATCCGCTGCGTAAAATATATGCTGGAATTGTTGGAGGTTCATTCGGCGGTGGCAACCTCTGAAATAGAAACTAAGCCGAAGGAAAATGAATGATTGAATAAAAGGATGGGTATTGGCCTGATTGTGTAGCTATGCAGGGACATGGGCAAATTAAGACCCGATAAAAATGATTTAAGACAGTGGTGTTTAAACTCGGTCCTGGAGGGCCGGTGTCCTGCAGATTATAGCTACAACTTGCCTTAACACACCAGCAAGGATGTTTCTAGAAAGCCTAGTAAGAGCTTGATTAGCTAGTCCAGGTGTGTCTTATTAGGGTTGGAACTAAACTTTGCAGGACACTGGCCCTCCAGGACCAAGTGTGGACACACCTG